CACACACACACACACACACACACACACACACACACACACACACACACACACACACACACAAAATCAGTTATTTGTGGCTTTCTTTCAGTTTGTTTGTTTACCTTTCTTGCTGTTTTCTTTTCAAGTTTGTAAATCATTCTTCCTGCTTTTCTTCTTACTTTGTGTATCTAGGCGAGCACCTTTAGGAAGTGCTAAATAGTCAGTTGTCGGTGGTTTGGAGTGCTTGCAGTACTCTCAAGGGGGGTTCTCTGTGTCTGATAGACATCCGTCAGAGTGTCACACACACACACACACACACACACACACACACACACACACACACACACACACACACACACACACACATGCACGCACCCACACACACGCGCACATGACCCATCTCATTCCTGTTGTGCCTGTCCCCTTAGCCGCCAAAATCATACTCATTCTCAACTCCTTCGTCTCCCGTGATTCTGTCATCCATATTCCTTTGTTCCTCCTCACTCGGCAACCCCTGCTTGACAGCGCGCAAGCGTGCTTATATAGCAGACAGGAGTGTGTGCACTTCCCAATCAACTCCTGGTATGTGGGAAAACTTGCACCTGGAAGACAAGCAAAATGGAAACTTGAAAAGTAGATAAGAAAAATCTGAAAGAGGAAGGAAGGAAAACGGAACTGTGGAAAAAGCCAAGAAGAAGAAAACAGAAAAACACGAAAAGACCAGTCCCTTCAACTGCCTTCACAACCCCTCCTGCCTATTCTTGCTGTCCGCTCCCATGCTTGTTTGTTCCACAACGGGTCTTTTGTTTTTCTCTCTTTTTTTGTCTTTTGTGGAAAATTTTGACCATTTCTCGCTTTATGCGTGTCGTCCTTGTGCAGTGGCCATGCTTCCCCCTCCCCCCCCCAAAAAAAAAACAGAACCTTCAGGTTCTAGCTCCTTTTCCATTCTGGGGAGCATCAGTCCAGTTCCTATTCCACCGGCAAGCCTAAAGGAAGTACATATAGGACACACACACACTCTTTCCCTTTAAGGTAAGAAAGCCCGAGGGACGGCATTGATTACTTCTCTCTGGAAGGATGTACCACTCCTCACCCCTGCCTAAGTTAGCCTGATTTCTTTTATGTTGAGTCTAAGACATGGTAAGGCACTCAGAAATGTGGACCCTGTAGGCTTCCTTCAGGGAGGCCTCATCTAACCTGTTCCTCTCAGTTCTCTGACCGCCGGACTCTCATTGAGCACGGGAACTGTAGACTTGAGCCTCCTCAATAGGTTTTGATAGGCCCTAAATCCTTCTCAGGACTAGTTGCTAATGCCTACGGATGAGAATAAATTCTATCTTGTCTTTATTATCCCTCCTCATCTACAAGATCTACCTGACTCTAAAACCCAAACCCATATGATGGCTGGTGTTGTTTTTGCTGGTTTGAGCAGAGACTGTGTGGGGTGTTTGTAGGTCTAGATTGCGGGGTTGGGCGGTTGATGTGTTCGGTTGTGCGGTGACGTGGCTGGGGGGGTATGGGTTGGGATCGGGGTGGTTTGTGTGGAGATGATTGGTCTAGTTGTGTGCGGTCGGGGAATGAAAGGTATGAGGGTTTTAGGGGGGTTAAGGGTTGTGTGATTCCGTATGTTGGAGATGAGGCCTGTGTGGGTTTGCTGTTGGGCGTGCAGTCTGTTAGTAATGGTCTCTACTGAGTTGTCATTGGTGGCTGAGTCGTAGTGGTGGGGATGTTTAGTCTAGGTGGCGGAGAGCGGGATTCCTCTGTGCTTGTTATCTGCCTTTGGTATGGACACTGGTGGTAGTTTAGATGAAATTGATCTGGATGCTCAATGAGTCTGGTGTGCTAATGGATGGTCTTAAGTCTGGACTATTGTTTTGTGTTATGTCGTTCCACATTGTGAAGATTACGCTTTGACCTTTGACGATTGCTATTTTACCCTTGACGAGGTAGTTGTCCTCAAATTTGGTTTGGAGATCTTTGGCTTTGGGTTCGTTCGCCTTCATTTTCCTCTTGACTTTGCGCCATAGGACCCAGTATTCTGTTTCTACCTATAACCTGAGGATACCCCAGGCGTCCTGCACATGCATTGGTTGTTTTTCTACAGTTTCTTGACATCTTTTTCTCCATATGGACCATAGTGCTGACTTACACAGGATTTGGAATAGGTTGATTTGCAAAGGTGGCCAGTCGTCGGGTGTTGTGAAGCCTAATAGGATAAGGGAAGTGTTTGATGTGAAAGTCGTGTTGGTTATTGAGAACCATATCTGTGAAATCGTATTCCATATGGGTTTGATCTTGGGGCAATGGAACAGATTCTCTATTTGACCTTCTGTGCAGTGGGCACATAGTTCATTTAAGGGGCTTCTATCTTCTTTTCTTCTTCTAATGTTCATCCATTGATTAAGTGGGATTGCTAGGTATAGGATTAACCATTGTAGGCTCTTGAACTTGGGGGGCTGTAGTGTTGCTATTTGGGTCCACGGAATTTCTTTCAAAACCTCGGGGTCTACTTCAAGGTGCCTATTCCAACGTTCTGCTATGACTGTTTCTGGGGCTGTCGATCTACGTCTGAGTTTATAGCCTAGGCTGGTGGTGTAGTTGATTAGATTGATTCTGCGGTTGATTCTTATGAACTTCTGCTTTAGGTTCCATGCCCATTCTGCTGGTCAATTTCTAAAAGTTAGTTTGGGGTTGGAATATACTAATATAGTGAAATCCTCATTTTCTATTACTCTCGACTTTTCGGAGGTTGTTCTCACTGACTGTGACCTGCGCTGCCGAGTCTTTATTGACTTTGCAGCATAGTTGCGGCGCACGTCGGTGCGCCGGTTTGCGCACGGTTTGCTCACGTCGCGCCGCGCACCGCACAGCGCACTTGAAAAATTAGGTCCAAAAAAAAAAAAAAAAAAGTAGGGGTTTTCTAATTTCTCAGGGCCCCCAACTCGGCAAAAATGTTAAACTCACCGTGCAAGTTCACAAACCGGCCGCGCCCACGGCCCGAACTTTTCTTTTGGGTAAGGGCTGCTGAAAATTCGATTTGCGCAGACCCTTCCCCAAAAAGTTTCGAATGGCGAGGCACAAAATAGGGCTCATTACAACTTTTGTTTTAGGCGGGGTATGAGAGATGTCCTTCCCGCTGCCTTCTGCAAATCCCACACAGTAGTGGGGTCAGTTCGCAAGAAGGGGTAG